CTCAGCGAAGGGCTCCTTCTCACCACCACACCTGCTACTAAGCCACCTAGTCCTCTTCCCAGCTTTGTTTTGATAGCAACTGTCACCTTTCAACAGATAACTCCATTTAACTGAGCTATGTTATTTATACCCGGCTCTCCCACTGCACTGTAAGCTCTGCAGAGCAGAGATCTGGGTCTATTTTGTTCACTAATATTATCTCCAGCACCTGGGGCTGTTCCTAACACATACTATGGATTGAATACATATTTGCTGCTTCAGCAAATCATCAAATTCTCAAAACTGGTCCAAGAAGCCCGTCCTTTTCTCATCAAAAAGAACTGTGCTAAGCCAAAGAAACCTCCCCATTTGCCATAGCTACTGAAACCAAATTCAACCCCTTTGCGCTACAGATACAGACACTGATGGCCGCAGAGGTGACTTGGTGAAGACCACTACTGGCAAAAGAAAGTTAAAATCTGGACCACCCGACTCCTAGTCAGAGGTCTATTTACCACACGACACATCCTGGCTTATCCAGAAACAAAGTTTCTAGGAAAGCATCAGCCAAACATGTAACCTAAGGACCAGGGTGTGCATAAACCTAAGGTCTACTAGCAAGACCACCTCTTCTGCAGTGTATAGCCCTGGCTAAACCACCCACTCTCCAGGCTAATCGAGAAGATAGGTTGGAATAAACACCATGTATCGGTACTGACAATGCAAGAATGAGAAAGACACATTTCCCAAACCTGTGCATCTCACAAGTGAAAGCAAAAGCACATACCAGGGACAACAGGAAGCCAGAGGTACCAACAACACTGAGTTTGATGCAAAAAAGGGGGACTTTAGTTCAGGCTGCATAAAAACAGGAGGTATGCTGGAGAGTGTATATTGAGAAGTGGGGGGGGCGGGGGGGAAGCTAAGCCAGGAGAAAGGGACGAAAAAAAACATTCTGGTCAGATACAAAAGCATGAAAGTGACAGGGTCATCAAACAGGATGGTGTGCCAAGGAACCTAGCAGTCCATCAGCACAGCTGAGAGCAAAGCTCAAAGCAAGAGAGCAGCCAGGTTATAAAGGGCTTAGATGTCGTGCAAAAACACTTATACTTCTCAGCATGACATTGAAGGGGAAAAAACCCAGGGATTTAAACCAAGACTGCCTCAGGGAGTGCAGGATCAAGCATGTCTGCTGCAAAACACCAGCAGACATAACATGTAAAACGCCAAAAACAGTGTCTAGCAAATGCTAAGTGTTTAATGAATACTAGCCATTATTGCCATAAGGAATTACTGAGTTGTGCTACTGGCCGGGAGCAGTGGCTCACGTCTGTAATCCCAGCACTTGGGGAGGCCGACACAGGCGGGCCACTTGAGATCAAGAGTTCGAGACCAGCTTGGCCAACATGGTGAAACTGCATCTCTACTAAAAATACAAAAAAATTCGCTGGGCGTGGTGGCGGACACCTGTAACCCAAGTTACTTGGGCAGCAGAGGCAGGAGAATCACTTGAACCCAGGAGGCAGTGGTTGCAGTAAGCCTAGATCGCACCACTGCACTCCAGTCTGGGCGACAGAGCAAGACTCGTCTCAAAAATAAAAAAGAGTTGAACTATCTGCAAGATCCCTTGCTAGTCTTGTACTGCACAGCAGGTGTAGTCTTCTTCCTGAGTCTCCTTGAGTTGACGGCTACACTCAAAAAAAAAAAAGAAGAAAACAAGGCTGTGTACGGTGGCTCATGCCTGTAATCCCAGCACTCTGGGAGGCTGAAGTGGGTGGATCACAAGATCAGAAATTCAAGACCATCCTGGCCAACATGGTGAAACCCCGACTCTACTAAAAATATAAAAATTAGCTGGGCGTGGTGGCGAGTGCCTATAATCCCAGCTACTCGGAAGGCTGAGGCAGGAGAATTGCTTGAACCAGGACCCAGGAGGTGGAGGTAGCAGTGAGCTGAGATTGTGCCTCTGCACTCCAGCCTGGGCTACAGAGCGAGACCCTTGTCTCAAAAAAAAAAAAAAAGAGGAAAAAAAGGCTGGGCACGGTGGCTAACGCCTGTAATCCCAGCACTTTGGGAGGCCGAAGTGGGTGGATCACCTGAGGTCAGGAGTTTGAGACCAGCCTGGCCAACATAGTGAAACCCCGTCTCTACTAAAAATAGAAAAAAAAAATTAGCCAGGCCTGGTGGTGGGCGCCTGTAATCCCAGCTACTTGGGAGGCTGAGGCAGGAAAATTGGTTGAACCTGGGAGGCAGAGGTTGCAGTGAGCAGAGATTGTGCCACCGAACTCCAGCCTGGGCAACAGAGTGAGGTACCGTCTCAAAAAAAAAAAAAAAAAAAAACCAAAAAAACAAAGAAAACCATCATGGGAAACAATTGAAAGAGCTGCCAAAGCCACAGGAACCTGGCTAGGATCTCCACTAGCACTGTGCTTGCGTAGGTGTGGACTAAATAAATATGCAGCTGGTGACCAATCACCACTACTGACAGGAAAACGGTCATCACTTTGTGACTCCTCCTTCAGGGCGGAGTTCCAGCCTGCCACCTGAAAGAGCGGCACTGCCAGAGGCTTGAGCCACAAGATGGATGGGAAACACACAGGCTTCACAGGCCTTCCTGCTGCACCCAACCTCTCCTTCTTCTGCCCTCTTCAGTGACAGCCTCAAACAACTCTCCAAGACTCCAACTTCACAAAGGAAAGGTATTACGGAAGCTGCTCTCAAAAGTGCCTGAGACACAGAACAGCATCAAAGTCAGAGGAAAAGGAAAGCTGGTCTTTGGTATCTCAGGTTCACATAGAAGAAAACTGGAGACTGTATTAGTTTCCTGTGGCTGCCATAACAAATTACCACAAACTGAATGGCTTGAAACAACAGACATTTATTCTCTCTCAGTTTTAAAGGCCAAAAGTCCAAAATCAAGTCATGAGCAGGGCCATGCTCTCTGTGAAGTCTCTAGGTGCGCATCCTTCCTTGCCTCTCCCAGCTGCTGCTGGCTGCCAGCAACCCCTGGCTTTCCTCGGCTTGTAAATGTACTATTCCAATCTCTGTTTCTGTCTCCACAGGGCCATTTCCCTGAGTGTGTGTCTCTGTATACAAATTTCCCTCCTGTTAGAAAAATACTAGTTGTTGGCCGGGCGCGGTGGCTCAAGCCTGTAATCCCAGCACTTTGGGAGGCCGAGACGGGCGGATCACGAGGTCAGGAGATCGAGACCATGCTGGCTAACACAGTGAAACCCCGTCTCTACTAAAAATACAAAAACTTAGCCGGGCGAGGTGGCAGGCGCCTGTAGTCCCAGCTACTCGGGAGGCTGAGGCAGGAGAATGGCGTAAACCCGGGAGGCGGAGCTTGCGATGAGCTGAGATCCAGCCACTGCACTCCAGCCCGGGTGACAGAGCGAGACTCCGTCTCAAAAAAAAAAAAAAAAAAAAAAAAGAATTAGAGTTTAGACTGATGAGGAACCAAAACCTTAAGACCTCAAAGTAACACATAAAAGTTACACTGTCCTGTGGCTCCTCTTCCCTGGACTCTATGTTCCAGAGCATTTGTTCCTGTCGCTACCAGGACCTCCTATTCACCACCATTCCAGAATCTTCACTCATCTTGGACCCTGACACTGGTTTTGTTGGAAGCTCTTACTGTTCTCGAATCACGCACAGTCAAATAGGGTCTCTGGCCACCTTTGATGACTCCCTTCATTCTCGAAGTCACCCATGAGCAGTCAGTAACTCACTCTGCTAACTCCCAGATCACTCTTAAAAGTAAACTTTCCTTTTTTTTTTTTTGAGACAGAGTTTCACTCTTGTTACCCAGGATGGGGTGCAATAGAACAATCTCGGCTCACTGCAACCTCCACCTCCCAGGTTCAAGCGATTCTCCTGCCTCGGCCTCCTGAATAGCTGGGATTACAGGCATGTGCCACCGTGCCCGGCTAATTTTGTATTTTTAGTAGAGACTGGGTTTCTCCATGTTGGTCAGGCTGGTCTCAAACTCCTGACCTCAGGTGATCTGCCCACCTCGGCCTCCCAAAGTGCTGGGATTACAGGCATGAGCCGCCGCACCCCGCCAAAAGTAAACTTTTCTAACTGGATGCAGTAAATTGCAAAGGTTATCATTCAAACACTCAAATGATAGTGTTTATTATGAAATAGGAGTACAAACCATTTTCCTGTGTTTATGAATGATTCTACTCAGACTTGTTTTAATATCACAATTCATAATTTTCAGCATTCCAGACTTCAACTTTGGAACAGAACACACTATGTTCTGAAATCTTGAAGTTTGCTTATCTCTGATCTGTTTTCACCAGTGGCTGATTTTATCCTAGGTACCCTCCAGGTAATGTCTCATTCCCTAGGGCCCTGGCAGAGCTCAGCGCCATAGCAATCAGACAAGGACTCTGGAGCTGTAATAGCATCTAGGGTGTACCCAGGTTATTCCAGGCTCAAAAAAAAAAAAAAACAAAAAAACAAAAAAAACCTTTCTGCTAACACAATATAGGAGTTGGTTTTGAGATCAGCAAGCAGAAACAGGGAAACTCACAGGGAAACTCTAATCCTCTTGCACGCTCAAGGCAAGAGCAGCAGCCCACAAGAGACCAGAGGCAAATCAAGTGGGTCAAAAGCACCACACCCCCTGCAGAAATTGATCTGCCCAGCAGACGGGGCCTCAGCCCGGCCAGCTTCCGGACTCCACCAAACTTCACAGCATGACCCGAATCAGTTCCTTCCAGCCTCCCCAGGGAGCCCAGGAGTTTTTCGGAAAGGAGTCTGCCAGTGTTGGGAAAAACGCCAACAGCTCCTCTTCGTCCTTGCAAGCCTCGATCCTACGTGCAGCCACTGTCACCCCCAAACCCCACGCTCCGACCTCCGAGTCCCACAACGCCCATCACACCACCCAGCAGTCTCCTCAGAGTCCAAGTTGCCCGCTCCAGACCCCCGACTCCGCCCGCAGTCCAGGAGGCCAACGCGGCCACCTGACCTTTGACCCCTGACCCCGACCCGGCCCTCCCGGGCACACCCACCTGCCCGGGAGCTTGCTGTTGCTGCGCTTCCAGAACTGCTTCCTGGCCCCGTCGCTGGCCATGGCCCCTCCTCATCCCTCAGACCCGCGGCCCAGACACCCCGAGTGCAGCCGGCCCTCCCCCAGCGGCCCTTTCCTGTGCCCCGGGTGGCCCCTCACTGGTCCCGGGACTCCGGAACGTAGACCCGAGAGGCTCTTCCGCCTCCTTCCGGAAGTTGTGCCTACGCGCGCCCGGAAGTCCCGCCTAAGTCCCAGGAGTGACGCAGCGTTCCGAGAACCCGACCGCATTAAAGGGCGACGTTGCGCGACCCACGTTACACGCGTCGCGGAGGGAGCAGAAGTGGTTGGGTTTCGTGTTTACTTAAGTCTGTCGCTCCCGGCTAGCCCGACCCGACCGCGGCGCCTTCCTGCAGGTAGCGGACTCCCAGGAGCCAGTGGAGCCTACATTGCGAAGCGGAGCTGGGCCCGTGTCTGATTCCGGTTTCTCTTGAGCGCGTCTCGGAGCCGGCCCAGAACAGAGGGAAGCCAGGCACGCCATACCCGGCCCAACAGTGGCAGGGCGGCTGCGGGTGCTGGTCAAGCTGGGTCTGCGGGCACTGAGTGAGGATCAGCAAATACTCAGTGGACGAAATATTTGCAGTGCGGTGAGGTGAGGGGCATAACCGCGGAGCGTATTCGGGGGGATGAGAGAGAGTGGGGATTAGGCCAGGCTTGAAGGGAGGAGTGGTTGAGCACCGAAGACAAGAATTAATTCCCCTGGCCTGAGTTCCAGCCTTGTGCAGCTATCACGTGCTTGAAACCTGGCTAGTCCGGAGTGAGATGCTCTTTACGTGTGAAATACAGGATTCTAAAGACGTCGTATAAAATAATTTGTATATTGTTTGCATGTTAGATAACATTTTTAGTAATACATTAAATTAAATAAAATGAATTATTTTTACATTCCTTTTTACTCTGTTTAAAATTATTTTTACCTTTTTTATTCTTTTTCTCCGGGGGGGAGTGGGGGTGGGGCGTCTTGCTATGTTGCCCAGGCTAGTCTCTAATTCCTGCCCTTTAGTGATCCTCCTGCCTCACCCTCCCCAGTAGTTGGAACTACAGGTGCATACGTTATGCCTAGATCTTTTTACTTGTGTGTGTGTGTGTGTGCGCGTGTGCAGAAAGCCACTAAAAAAATCCGTATCTGGTTTGCATTACATTTCTGTGCGTCTTAGGCCAAAGATTGAAGGCTCAGAGACTGTCCTTTCAGACTGGAGCTTTAGTGTATTTGGAGCTCCTGCCAGTTCTCTTTTAAAACAAAAATTTGATAAGGCATATTTACTGATTAAGAATTTCCCGGGAGGCTGAGGCAGGACAATAGCGTGAACCCGGGAGGCGGAGCTTGCAGTGAACCGAGATCGCGCCACGGCACTCCAGCGTGGGCGACAGAGCGAGACTCCGTCTCAAAAAAATAGTAATTTCCCATGCCTCTTAATTTACTGGTAAGTAACACTGACTTAGTACTTACTACGTACAAGGCATCCTACTCTCCTGAGATCCTCTCCTAGTAAAGCTCAGAAGACCCCTTCTAACATATAGCCCTGACAGCCTCAGACAATGCTGTGGCCTACACACAACATTGAGGACCATGGCGGTTCTTTCCAGTTCAGTCTGGCTTATTGCAAGAATCAGTGAGCGAGGTGACAGCAGGATTAACCTGATGGAAGGGGAAAGGAAGGAAAAACTGTGAAACAATTGACAGAGGAAAAACTGGCAGCACTTAGTGACTGGTTACACCTTAGATCCAGGTGCTCTTTATCGCTTACCGTATGCTTTGCTACTACTGTTTTCAGGCGAAGGAGTGAGGCTGAGATTGACTTGAAGGCTTCAAAACCAGCTAAGCAAAGGATTAGTAGGATCATGACAGAAACGTGAAGATGGAAAAAGAGAGTCTGAGTAGAAAGCCAGTTTTGAAAGCCAAAGTAATACAGATGTTGGAGTCTAGATATGGGACCTAGGAATTGGGACAGACCCTCCAATCCCAGAGGTAATGAGTGGAACCTTTTTTATTCATTTTTGCAACAAGTATTGAGCAGCAATGCAAATTAAAACTAAGGATGTACCACGTTACACTTAACAGATTGGCAAAAACTTAAAAATCTGTCTTTACCAAACTTGATAAGAATGTGGATTTGAGGGGGCGGGGTCAGGTACCAGCACTTGGGAGGCGGAGGGCGGACGAGGTCAGGGATGAGACCATCTGGCTAACCGTGAACCCGTCTCTACTAAATACAAAAACGGGGGGGGGGGGCCTGTAGTCCAGCTATCGGGGTGGGGGGAGGCGTAACCGGGAGGGAGTGCGTGAGCGAGATCGGCCACTGCACTCCAGCCGGCTAAGACAAGACTCGTCAAAAAAAAAAAAAAAAAAAAAAAAAAAAAAAAAAAAAAAGAATGTGGATTTGTGAGCAGAGCAGAACTCGCGCACTGCCGGGAGGAGGGTGCATTCATTCACTAATTTCGGATGGCCACTTAGCAATTTCTAGCAAAAATACTCTATAACTTAGCAATTCCACTCTTGGTATGTGCTCTAGAGTACCTTGCCTCCATGTGCAGAGACAAGAATGTTCACTGCAGCGTTGCTCCTAGTGGTAGTTGGGGTCTGGGGAAGAAGCAACCAAAATGCCATCTGTGGCAGAATCGATAACTTACACAGTTACGTAGTAGAATACCATAAATTAGTAACAATGATTACATACATCAACATAAATGAATTTCACAAACTGTGGGGTGGTTTTTGAAATGAGGCTTACTACGTTGCCCAGGCTGGCTGCAAAATCCTGGGCTCGAGTGATCCACCTCAGCTTCCTGAGTAGCTAAGAACAGATGCGAGCACTATTGCACCTGGCTCCACAGTGCTGAATGAGAAAAAGTTGAATATGAATTCACATGGTATGATACCATTTAGTACTATTTTGTTTTAAAGGATGAGAATATGGCCAGGTGTGGTGGCTCATGCCTGTAATCGCAGCACTTTAGGAGGCTGAGGCAGGAGGATCTCTTGAGCCCAGGAGTTTGAGGCTGTAGCAAGCTATGATCATGTCACTGCACTCCAGCCTTGATGATAGTGCAAAACCCTATCTCAAAAAAAACAGAATGGAAAAGATAAATTCAGGAGAGTGGTTGCCTATAGGTATGGGTGGGGACTGTGATCAGGAAGGAATTCATTCATAGGAGATCAATTGTGCTATTATGCTTTGTTTCCTAAGGCAGATGGGCTATATTCAGGTGTGTGTTGTATTCTTTATGAGTCTTTACATGTATAAAGCGTTTCATAATACATTCAAGTATCATTACTGAGCTTGAACTGTGCTATGCACTGAGCTACATTGAACTGTTGTGGGGAAAGGCAAACAAGTGCAGCAGGTCAGGCACAGTGGCTCACACCTATAATCACCGTACTTTGGGAGGCTGAGGTGAGAGGATCGCTTGAGACCGGGAGATCAACACTAGCCTGGGCAACACAGGGAGACCCCGTCTCTACAAAACTTTTTTTTAATTAGCCAGACATGGTGGTGAACACTCTTAGTCCTAGCTACTTGGGAGACTGAGGCAGGAGGATCACTTGAGCCCAGAAGTTCAAGGCAGCAGTGAGCTAGGATCACGCAGCTGCACTCTAGCCTAGACAACAGAGACCCTGCATCAAAAAAAAAAAAATTATATATATATATATATGGCAATAGTATTTCAGGATGGCAGGATTTGCAATGCCAGTTGGGTTCCTTGGAAAGTGTTTTCCGCCTTCTCCTTTTTCAGATGGCCTGCTCCAGGCCTAGAATATCTCTCACAGGACCTTACTGAGTGAGCTGCCACACTCGCACATGGTGGGTTCTCCCTGCTAAGTTTCCTGGTGCTGCACTCTCCATAGGCACCAAGCCTGTGCCCCAAAGTAAAAAGCTGACCGTCCTATCCGTATTGGTTTCCTAAGGCTGCTGTTGGTGGAATGCTGCAGACTTAGTGGCTAAAAACAAGACACATTTACCCTCCTGCAGTCCTGGTGGTCAGAAGTCCAAAGTCGGCTTCACTGCTCTAAAGTCAAAGTGTCAGCAAGGCACTCCCTTCTGGAGGTTCTAGGGGAGAGTCAGTTTCTTTTTCAGCTTCTAAAGGCCACTTACATTCCTTGGCCTACGCCCTTCCTCTGTCTGGAAAGCCGATCACTGTAATCTCTACTGCCATCATCACATCATTTTCTCTCCTTCCAGTTCCTCCTGGATCCCTCTGACCTCGCATCAGGTCCACTGGATAATCCAATCCAGGCTGATCTCCCCATCACCCAGCCCTTAGCTCAATCACACCTGCAAACTCCCTTTGGCCATTTAAGGTAGCATTTGCAGGTCCCAGGATTAAGACCTGGTATATCTTCAGGGGTTCATTATTAGTCTACCACAATAATTGATGGCAAATAGCAAAGGTCCCCAGTTTTGCACCGCGAGAGGCAGGCATCCTCTTCACTGCCCTCTTCCCCAACTCCTTTCAGCCATTTTGATACTATAGGGTCTGTCACTGGCAACATGCCATTTCCTGACACTACGTCAGGATGAGTTAGGGTGCTGTTGGTTGCAAGAATGACAAAGTTCAACTCAAATTAGCTGATACTATAAAAGGAATTGGTTGGTTAATGAAAAAACCCAGAAGTAGCTCAGAGTTTGGAGAAGGGCTGATACAGCAGCTCAACCATGACTCAAGGGCCTGTCTCCTTCTGTCAGTCTCTTAAGTCTGTGCCAAGGACAACTTCTCCTTGAGGTCACGGGATGCCTCTGTTGGGCCCCTGAGATCATGTGCTTACCTCTAGTCAGGATGCTAAAGTGCAGAAATACTGTGAACTAATGTCAGTCCCTGGGAGGGGAGCACTACACATGGCTTACCAATTCCAGGAGAGCACTCTTAAACACCTCACCAATTTCTGCTGAGTTTCCTAAGGCTGCCAGGAGGCTTTGCACAAACCCAGCAGCCAGAGTTCTGCAAGTTTTCTTGACTCTGGCAGGGGCTCAAAGCTGATCTAGCTGCTGCAGCAGTCGTACCTCCACCCCCTGCATTCTTCATGTCTAGTCTGGTAAAACAGAATACGTGCACAACACGTCAGACAAAGCAACGTTATTATTCACAGAGAGGCCCCAAACATCAACCCAAGCCTGGGGTCCATGGCGAGCCAGTCCACCAGCATTCAGGAAAGCTCCCCAGGGCACTGGAGTGCTGTCTGCAGGTGCCCCCACTTCACAC